ACTCACCATTATTATATGGTACAGTCCAAAACATCAGGTTGAACAATGGGAAAATCGCTGTTTTGGTAGTTCAAGACAAATACAAAAGTACCAAAGCAAATGAACAAAGACAGGAGTCTTTTCAAAAAATGGTGCTAAAACAAGCAAAGGACTACTGCCCCTCAATTATGTCAGGCTCCTTCCTACATCTGCCCATCCATTAACCAGGCATGTCAATATTAACTTCCTAAATTTCAACTCTGTATATTCCCTTTACCACTGCTTCATTTAAGAGGTTCATCATCTCATCTGAACTACCCCAGCAGCCTCAAACCTGTTGCTTTGTCTTCAGACTGTTCTTTACCAACCAATTCCCCTCACTGTCAGTGAAGTGGTCTTATGGTCAGTCACTATTCAGTTTACAATCTGTCAGCTATTACATATTATCCTGAACTTTTTTAAGTCCATTGGGAAAATTTCATAACCTTTCAGTAAAACATTTAGGTAAAATTATAAATGGTTTTATATAAGTAGCATGGTTTTCGTAATCAAATTATGTTAAATCACTTACATCATAAAACAGTTTTCTATCAGCAGCCAGACGTTTAGAGGCCAGAGTCTTGGTTACATGATAGAAGGTAAGTAATGCTCTGTGCTGCCGAAGATCATCTTGGACTTTCACAGATTCTATAAGAATGGGAATCAGTTCAGGCCACTGTCTGGGACAGTCCAATCGAGCAACTTTCGCAATGAGTACTGCAATCTGAGTTGCGATCTGGAGAGGGAAAATTAATCATCAGAAATAAAAGCAATGGATAAAAGTTACCTTTCTGGTTATTACACATTTGAACAAAATGAATAACATTTTCATAAAACAACTACTCAAAGTCTGGTACATGGGTGGAGAGTGGGTGATTTAAAATCCTTTCAGGGTCTGTGAGTTCCTCCCTTTCCCAATAACATATTTCCTTCATATAACTTTTACCAAAATAATATACTGCAAACAGAGTAAATAAAGAAGCAGATATGAAAATGTAGACATCTTTTTTAAAAATGTTTTTATTGACTTCAGAGAGGAAGGGAAAGGGAGAAATATCAATAATGAGACTCACTGTCGAAACCAATTTGGCTCAGTGGATAGAGGGGCCTGTGGACTGAAAGGTCCCAGGTTCAATTCCGGTTAAGGGCATGTACCTTGGTTGCAGGCACATCCCCAGTAGGGGGTGTGTAAGAGGCAGCTGATCGATGATTCTCTCTCATCGATGTTTCTAACTCTCTATCCCTCTCTCTTCCTCTCTGTAAAAATCAATAAAATATGTTTTAAAAATAATAATAATAATAATAATAATAATGAGACTCACTGATCAGTTGCCCCCAACTGGGGATTGAGCCTACAACCCAGGCATGTGCCCTGACTAGGAATTGAACCGTGACCTTCTGGTTCATAGATTGATGCTCAATTACTGAGCTACTCTTAAAAAATCAGACACTAAAGAGATATGTAAAAGTACAGAACAATGCAACTCTTCTCATTCATTTATCTATTGCTTTGAAAAACAGCTATTGTTCATCTTTTAAATTTCTATTAAAAAGTAATTGTTTTATTATTTTTATTTAATAATTTTTTTTAAAAAAATTCAGTTTTAGTCTCTAATACAGTAAATATCAACAAATAGAACCCTTTAGGATTTTATTTTGGCAGTATAAGGAACTTCTGGGATTACAAAGTTTGTGAACCACTGACTTAAGAATAGAAATGAACATCAAATATTAGGTATTTACATCATGGTATTAGTTCAAATCAGTGTTTCTCAAATGCTAACTGACAGAACATCTAACCAATGATTTACCTCTAGATCACCCAAATTCTTCCTAATAATCTCCTGACCCAGTAAGAGTTACTCCATTCCTCTCCATCTTCCCTCATTTCCTTAAGGAACTTATAAAAGAAAAAATGCAATCATTTAAACATGCTGAGATAAAACTATACTGGATACATGACCAAATACAGGGTGCTGTGTATCCATAAGCAAAACTTACTGTATTCTTAGAGAAGAAAAATTCCACTATAAAAGAAAAAAACTGTATAGTTTACTATCTATCCCCCACATAGTAAGAACTGAAAATGTGATGGATGAAATAGACAAAATCATGAAATCACCCTATAGTTTACAAATAGATGGGATCATCTAAATCATTAAATTTAACTTCCCTGCAGTAAGATTACAAATACAGAGACATTTGTTTTCCATATTAGCTAAAGAAGCTGAGGAAGTTTAAAATGCATAAAAGTATGTCTTAAAATGACTTCTGTGTTTTAAATAATTAAATGCCAAATCTAGCCAAAATTCTTAACAGCTAGAACTGGACCTCAAAATTCAAAAATCAACAGAGAAATGTGTATAAACATCACAAATGGACATTATGTAATAGATTTTCTTTTTAATGCCAAGAAACAAAATTAGTTTGAAAAGAAGCAAAAACTAAGGAAAGGAAAAGGATAATTAGCATTCATTTTCTTATTAACCTGATTTATTGGTTCATTGAAGTTGGTGATTAGCCCTGCACGCAATGTAGATTTCTCCTCCTCTGAAAGAGCACTGGAAAAAAAAAAAAGATGTATTTATTATGTAAGATAATGTTTCCTAACAAAAAATGCAAGTAAGCACTTCCATGAATTTTTAAAATAAAAAGCTTTTTAAACAATGTGTTCCTGATTGTTTTGGTAAATAAAAAAAATTATTTCCATTGTATGCTGACACATCAAGTAATTCAAAAGCATAAAATTCCTTCAAAATTGAATAAGAAGCACAAATTAGTAAGCCATAGAATATAAGACAAATCCACAGTAATGAATATAATTTTTCTTTATTTTATTTTTTCCATCAATTTATTCTTTTACTCTACCTCCCACTACCCCAGTCACCACACTGTTGTCCCTGTCCATGAATTCTTCCTTTTTCCCCCTCTTTTGCTTAACTCCTATGAGCCCCCAGGCCCTACCCTGAGCTGTCAGTCTGCTCTCTATCTATGAGTGTGTCTCTATTTTGCTTGTTAGTTTAGTTTGTTCATTAGATTGTACATGAGTGAAATATGTATATGGTACTTGTCTTTCTCTGACTAGCATATTTCTCTTAGCATAATGAATGTGTTATTTTGATGTTTGCTTTTGATGTAAAAATAATTACAGACAAAAAAATATGGTTCGCTAAAAAAAACTAAGTAAAAATTTGTTTTCCACTAACTTTCCTTTTAAAATCTGATTGCAGTTGTTCTATGGGGGAAAGGATCAGTAATCAAAGAATGTTTGGGATGGAAGACTTATTAGAAATCAACTAGTTTAAAAATCTTTCATTGTACATATCTGGAAAGTATAAACACAATACCAATATTCTGACTATAAATGAGGAAGGAAATTAGATAGCAAAAGGACAGAGATGGAGAATATTCGCTGTATGAGACAAATGGTATGCATTTTGTTTTCTTAACTATATGGATGTACTGTTTATTTAAAATTTAAATTTTAAATCCCTCATTTTAAGGTTTTCCATTTTGGCAGAAGAATCATCCCAATAAAACCAGCCATAAAAGTTGTAGAAAATTAAAGACAAGTTTTAAAGCATCTGTTAAGGTGAACTGTGTCCCCCAAAAAAGACATCTTTAAGTGCTAACTTCAATAACCTGACTGTGACCTTATTTGGAAACTGGGGTTTTGCAGATGTGTCAAGCTAAAATGAGGTCATACTGGATTAGGGTGGCCCTGATCCAAGCTCTGGTGCCCTTTATAAGGAGAGAAAATCTGGACAAAGATACAGAGGAGACACGTGAGAAGAAGTCTATGTGAAAAGGGAGGCAGACATTGAAGTGATGCACCTTCAAGCCAAGAAGACCAAGCTAAAAATACACAAGGAAGGATTTTTTCCTAGAGCTTGCATCTTAATTTATACCAGAAAAGATAGCTTGGAATTTAGCTTCTTAATACCATACAATAACACTATTAATTTTTTAAATTTAAAGTAAATTCCAGTTTCTAATTCTTTATGTGAAAGTACAATCTGAAATATGTAATTATAATTTACTCTCCCTTACAGTAATTTTTAAAAACTTTTTATACTCGTTATAACCATATTCTTCATATAACCAGTACAAAATCAATTTAGGAAGCATCTAAAATTTAACTGGACAAGCAGTAAAAAAATTTGTGCTGCTGCACTGTTTCCAATAAATCAAAAAATACAGTTTCTCATCACCTCTCTCTCAAAATTATGAATTTATTTTAAAATAAAAAAAGGTAAGTTTGCTTTACACTACTATATATTATTAAGTGCAGCCTTAAAAAAATTCGAGTTGCTTCCAATATTATTCAAGGGCATATTTTGTAAGTACTTTGAAATACACTCAGACAAGTTTTTTGTTTTTTTTAAGACCTTATAAATGTAAGAGCTATGGTGCCATCTACTGGAGAACAAAGGCTATGTTACTTCTTCAGCAAGGTTCACTATTTTCTAACAAATAAATTCCAGGGTCATGTTTGCATTGCCTGTCCATCAATTACATAACATGTATTCATTATCAAGAGACGTATGTTCACTTAACCACCTAAAGAGCAGTTACAGCTGAATCTGATGAGATTACAAATGCATGCTATCCTATTCCCAAAAGGAAATTATGCAAAACAAACTGGAATTAACATCTAGCTGGCTCAGAAATGACCTAGGATTTCCTTCTCAATGACTTTTTTTCAAACTCCTAACCTCATACTTCTTTAAAAAAAATAAATAAATAAATAAAAATAAAAATAAAAATAAAAATTCCCACATGAATTATTCAACTCAACCTTTTGTTTTGTGCCCATAAAATTTGAAATCCTTGAAAGTAGACCACCAAGAAAGCCACACATACCCTTCCCCAAAATTAAAAAAAGTCATGGAAAAAAGCAATAATATGGATATTGATGTGTAATTAACTATATAGAACACTTTTCTTCTTTAATAAGTAATACATTTATTTTTTTCTTTTAAATATAAAAAAAATATTACACTAGGCTGCATGTCATCCTAACACAGGGAAAATGCTAATCTTCTCAGCATGGTTCCAATTTTAATATGTGGGCAGCTGAAGTAAACACAAACTTATTCTTTCACATAAAGAATGAAGATTAGCCAAAACCGGTTTGGCTCAGTGGATAGAACATAGGCCTGCAGACTAAAGGGTCCCAGGTTCAATTTCAATCAAGGGCGTGTACCTTGGTTGGGGATACATCCCCAGTAGGGAGTGTGCAGGAGGCAGCTGATCGATGTTTCTATCTCTCTATCCCTCTTCTTCCTATCTGTAAAAATCAATAAAATATACTTTTTTTTTTTAAAGAAAAAAAAAAAGAATGTAGATTAACAGACACATCCAATACCTCCCTGAATTTGAAAAGGATTACTACACTGGGAGGGGGAGAGTGATGAAACTCACTGAGGTGCTACACGTCTCCAGTAACGATCAATTCCATTTTTAAAATACAGCACAGCCAGCCATCTTACATTTACATCCAAATCATGGTTTGTGAAAATATTCTGTAAATAAAAAAACATAGTATTAGAATAAACATATAAGTTAAAAGTATAATATATAAGAAAATATAAATAGATATTTAAATTATATCACCATATACATATTATTTTCTAAATACCTATAGTTTAATTCATATAAGAAAGTATACCTGCTAGTGGAATGCTAATTATTTAAGCCTAGTAATAGATAAGTAGAGATTCATTACATTATTCTATTCTTAAGTATGTTTATTTGTTAATAAATGTAAAACAAAATAAACCTCATTATATGTCACAATCTACACACACACACAAATCATCTAAATAAAAAAATAAAAATAGAGGTATTGACAACATAAATTCAAAGATTCTAAGGAGTGAAAGACCTTGTGTTATTAATAAATGCTACGATACAAATTATTTGAAAGTATTCTCATTAAAACAAGTGTTTACAAATTCAGTTTGATAGCAGAACATTTTTAAGTTACATAAAAGCAGATGTGATGTGAACAATTTCAACTCAAAATTAACCAGCACTCAAAATATCTGCTTACTGTGTTAATATAGATAATCCTCATTTTTCAAAGCAGTGGGAGACCTTAATATTGACTGTGCAAGCTAAACCATGCAACATTATTTTAAATAAAATGCAACATTATTTTATTTTAAAAATAAAGGAGAAAAGTACAATGTTCTGTGATCTTTTAATTTTTTATAAAAATAAAATTATAAAAAATGTGTAATGATAATTATAAATGTGTATGAAAATAAAAAGAACAGTAAAAACACTATTTACACTGTAATTTAAAAAGTCATAGAACTTCCAGTCAAGATGGCAAGGTAGGTAAATGCAGTACCCAAATCCCCCAACACAACATCAGTAGTGTAACCTTCTAAGCAGACCCTACCAATATCCTATTTATTCACTCATCAACAAATATCTCTTAAACACTTTCAAAGAGCCATGCCCTTAAATACCGTATTTTTCGGACCATAAGACGCACTTTTCCCCCCCCAGAAGTGGAGGGAAAAAGTCCCTGCGTCTTATGGTCCAAATATAGCCTACACATATACTTTTAAAAAAAAGTTTTTTTACTTGCCCGGCTCTGTGTGGTCTCTGTGTGCTTGCCCAGCTCTAAAATGGTTCTAAATGCTGCTGTTTACTTTACAGGGTTGATTACATGTGTTTATGACTGTGATGTTGGGTTTTAATGCACATAAAATATTTTAGGACACTATTTGTTTCAGAATCTTTTTTTCTTCATTTCCCTTCTCTAAAAACTGGTGCGTCTTATGGTCTGGAGCGTCTTATGGTCCGAAAAATACGGTAGTAAATGGCACTGTAATGGTAGCCATCAATTTGGATCAGTTTCACTAACTAATACACCAATATAAGTGGGTTTTTAGAACAGTTAATATTATGGTGTCTGAACAACTTACCAGCAACACTGAATAGAAACCTGGCTGTGTTTCCCACTGTTTCAACTGCTCTTCAGCTGGTTTTAAGACAGCAGTATCTTGACTAGTAGCCTGTGTTAAGACCTGAAGAACAACAGTGCTGGCACTATTGAGATCCATGGAAACCTGGCAATGATAAATTAACATATCTGAATGTACATTATACATAAAAAATCAACAGAAACACAGAAAGAGCTTCAATGTTCTGAATTACTCCTATACTTCAATCATTCACCTACTCCTTCATGTTTCTACTGAATTTCTATCTTTTCTATGCACCACCCATACACTTACCTAAAATTCCCATAATTCAATTCTAGCCAGCTAAAATAAAAATAAAGTTCAAGTTTTAAAATAATAGCCAATATCTGGAGAGAAACAAAGATGGTGGCATAGGTAAACACCTGAAATTGCTCTATTGCACATCCGTTTTAAAACTACAACTAAAAGACAAATCGGACATCATCCAGAACCACAGTTAAGATTGGCTGAGTGGAAATTCTACAGCTAGAAGAAAAGAGAAAAGCACACTGAGACTCAGAGGAGGTGCGGAAGTAAAGTGCAGGGGTATGGAGAGCACTGGCAACAGAGTATGTGGTGGGCTTTTTCAAGCAGGAGGGAGACTGCTCTGAACTCCAGTTCCAGGCCAGACTCTGGGGACCCAGACTCATATGGGGAGAAACTGGACTGTCTGGTAGTGGGCAGAACTCGAGGGGAACTTTCTACCAAAGGTGCTTGCAGCAATTATCGCAGAACACTGAGGCCTGGGAGTCTCTTAAGGCAGGGCTGATGGGAAGCCATTGCTGTTTACTCTGCCCTGGGACCGCGCCCCACCCAAGCTGTGCACAGTGGCTTTTGCATATGAATGGCCTGGCTTTTTGCAACCTAAAATTACCTAACAAACTGCATCTGGGTTAGAGAGCCCCAGAGCCTGCAAAAGAAAGCCCAAGGCCCCCACCAACTTGCCCTGCTTCACAGCTGGGCCTCATCTGGACACCTCCAAACCCCAAACTAAGATGAGGAATCTGCAGATCTCTCTGTAGCTCCTGCTGGGTGGCCTCAGGCAGAGGCTAAATTTGCACCTCCTTGGAGATCCAAGAGCCAGTGTACCCAGGGGTCAGAGTGGGACCATCCAGATTACAACTCCTCAGATCCATAGGGACACACTCAAGGGGCAGACTCTGTGAGCACCAAAACCCCACTGAAGCAAGTCTTGCCCCATAAGTGTGAATCTAGAAGTTCTCCCATCGTAGACACAGCTGATCCTCAAGCCAACTTGCCTGGAGGTCAATTCTTCTCAGTGATACAATTTTTGAACAATCTAGTACTTCACATGGAACCATGTGACAGCTAATTAACTGATTTGTTTCATCCTGGAGGATTGAGGTGGGAAGCAGAAATATTCTTATCATTAAAACAAACTGTGAAAAATAAGTTCCGAAAATAACAGTTGGAACCCAGAGCACATTTCCCCCTGCAGAAGCACTACTATGAGTGGCTCAGTTAATAGGGCTGTTAGGTCTGAGAAACAAACCATCTTTCATAAACTTCTGCTGGAAACATTTCTAAGCACTAATTAACTTACAAGAAAAGCTCTAAGCAGCAATCAGTTCCTAAACTGCAGATTAAATGCATCATCAAAAAGAACTTAATTCAGGGATGACAGACCTATAATGGATTATTAAAAACACCACATCAATAAATCTTAGTAATTGTTGTAAAGATCCCAAACAAACCTGTAAGAGCAAATCTGGCATGTGGACTAATATCACTGTTTCATTGAGGAAGTACAGCTATAGGAGAGCTTCCCAGGTGGTGTAGCAGAGTAGTACACGAGGCAGAGTGAGGCCCCATAACCAGCTCTCTGGGATCCCAGCTCTTCCTACTATGACACGAAATGGCCTCACCACACCATCGACTCCCAAACACCCACAAACCTACCATGTTCTCCCACAACAGGTTCCTAAAGAAACTGTCAAAAAGATCTCTGAATCCATCAGAAACCCAAAAGGATCACATTCAGTATCTATATAGTACTCAACTGGGGAATTCTCTGGAAAGGACAGTGATGCCAACAAAGAACAGGGGGAGAATATATGGAGTCATTGAAATGTAACTGTGGAAATAAACTTCATCTGGCTTAAAAGATGACGATTAGTGACCTCTCCCTTCCTTCCTCTCTCTCTAAAATAATCAATGAAAACACGTTTTAAAATTATTTTTAAAGTGATGAATAAGTATTTGTTAAATAAATGAGTTCAATTAAATCCCAATCTCTGCTTCCAGTTGTATAAAGGCACAAAAATGAACCCAGAATATAAACTGGTAATAAGGGGGCACACACGCACATGCATAATTTTTTTCTTATGTTTTTATTGATTTCAGAAAGAGAGGGAGAGGGAAAAAGAAACATCAGTGATGAGAGAGAATCATTGATCGGTTGCCTCCTGTACAACCCCCATTCCTCCTACTGGGGATCGAGCTCGGGCACAAGCCTTTGACTGGAATCAAACCCGGGACCCTTCAGTCCACAGGCCAAAGCTCTATCCGCTGAGCCAAACTGGCTAGGGCACACACACATATTTTTCAAGTCCACTCTAACCTCCAGAGTCTATAAGTCACAAACTTGCATTCAACAATTAAAGAGCTTCTACTGGCCAAGCATTACTCTGAAAGACAAATAAGAGAGTCTTTGCAGTCAAATCTAAAGAGGAAAAAAAGACAATTACAATATATAGTAACCTATCTAATAAAGAGGGAGTATGCTAATTAACCCTCACGCCATCCCAAGAATGGCTGCACCCACAGTCAATAAGGAGGGAATATGCTAATTGACTGCCCCGCTCTCAAAGAGGACAGCACCCACAGCCACAAGATGGCAGCGCCCTGTTCCCTTAGCCCACTGAGGCAGCAGGCTTGTGGCAAGGCCTGGCCCGCCCCCAGGGCCTCTAGTAAGCACTATAATAAGCTGTTGGGTGCCTGTCAGGTATATAGTCTAGTAGACAAACATGTAAATGTCTCAATTTTGAAAAGAATCTTAACATTTCTGAAGAACTGTAAATAGTTAGAATTGTAAATAGTTAAGCATGACAGAAAAATAAGATGCAGAAAACAACAGAAGGTGAAAG